GCCTCCTAAAGAAGAGAAAGAGGTGAAGAAACCACCTAAAGAAGAGAAAGAGGTGAAGATGCCTCCTAAAGAAGATAAAGAGGTAAAGAAACCATCTAAAGAAGATCAAGAGGTAAAGAAACCATCTAAAGAAGAGAAGGAGGTGAAGAAACCATCTAAAGAAGAGAAGGAGGTGAAGAAACCTCCTAAAGAAGAGAAAGAGATAAAGAAACCATCCAAAGAAGAGAAGGGGGTGAAGAAGCCTCCTAAAGAAGAGAAAGAAGTTGAGAAACCATCTAAAAAAGAGAAAGAGTTGAAGACGCCTCTTAAAAAAGAGATAGAGGTGGAAAAGCCTCCCAAAGAGAAAGAGGTTAAGTCTTCAATGCAAAGGAAAGAAGCGAAGAAACCCTCTAGGGAGGAGAAGGAAGAGATTAAGCCATCAGAGGAGGCACAGGAGATCAAGAAATCTACAAAAGCGAAAAAAGAAGACAAAGACCTTGTCAAGAAAAGAGACACAGAGACAGGTACATACTGTAAAGGAATTCTGTGTGAAGTGGTTAGGCTGTACCTCACAGTGGTAGTTTAAGTGAAGTACTCACATCATCATTAGGACATGGTGACATTTAACAGGTATAACGTTCACCATTTTAGTTTAGTATGTTAGTAGTATGAGTGCTGGCTAATTACCACAAAACCTAAAGTACAATATGAAATGGTGACCTGCTAATGGCACCAGGCACATTTTGGGGCATCACAGAAATACAAATTCATGCCTTGGCCCTAAATAATGCTAAAAAAACTGAAACTTATAAATCAACTTTTCCTTTTTCTTTCAGACACCAGACGCAAAAAGGCTGCAAGTAGAATCAAAGTAGTCAAGAAAGAAGTTGCATCTGTGCTGAAGAAGGAACATCTTAATGTTACAAGAGCAGGTGAGAAAATATGATAAGTCAGTTTGCTGAGTGTATTCATGGCCCTTCAAAGTCACGCAGTGGTTACCTTGTCAGTTTGAACTGCTCTAAAGGACTTCAAATTACATTCCCTGATAAAGATTATTACTTACAATCAGTGTTACCTTCAGATGGCGTCGTTCCCTTCCCTAAATCAAGTTTTAGTTTGAGCACTGCATCTTCATTCCACTGATGGGGGCCCCAAATCAGTAAAATACCTCCACATGGTCTGTTTCGTCATCTGTGTATGACTTGTCTCTATTAGCGCCAAGAGCTCATCAGAATGGAAGGTTTCCAAGGTTAAGTCAGAATTTGTAGATAAGAATTTGGAGACATTATTGAATGTTACAACATCAAGATCAAATTCCAGAAATAGTTTGCACTGAACAACATCTAGGTGTGATACTGTAGCTTAAGAATTAACTCCATGTTTTCTTTTCAGCTGCAGAGCCCAAGAAGACTACAAAGGTGCTGAAAGCTGCTAAAAGGCAGGTCGTTCCAATTCTGAAGAACGAGCATATGAATGTCACACAATCAGGTCAGTAACAGTCCATTCAGTGTGCAACCACAGTGTGTATTAACTGAAGCTACTGTTTGTACAGTCATATAAAACTTCTCACTGAACACACATCAAATTTTAGTTTGAAGTCTGAGTGGATGTGGAGCTTATCACCACCACCAGGTGTTTGTGTTGCTCAGTGAGCATGTCTCAGCACGCCATCATAAAGCTGTCATAAAGCTAATCATGAAATGCAGACAGTTATCTTAGCCAAAAGGCTGGTGTCTCATCTCAAGGCCCTGGCATGTTTTTTTGGACTGGGAATCAATAATTTAATTAAGATGTTCAGAGCACATGATCTGACACTTTTCTTTCATGCTTTAGGAGACAGTTTGCACCAGTTCACACCACCTGAATCCTGCAGCCAATTGTTTTGAAAGCATGTAAACCACTTGCTTCTGCATCCATTGACACAATGTTACATTTACAGCAGACG